TCAGCTTGAGAAATATCGAGCATGTTCTTCCCTTCTGGTTTTCTAACTCCAGGTCTTTGCACATTTCATTATAGTAATTGGCTTTGTCTGCTAGAGCTGCTCTTTGAAATCTTCTTTCAGCTCTTTTATCTTGTCATTTCTTTCATTTGCTTTAGCTACTTTTCGCTCAAGGGCAAGTTTCATCCCTGGGGGAGTACAAAGGAGCCCCAGGGGCACAGTGGTTAATCACTCACTGGCTGGTAACCGGAAGTTGACAGTTGGAACCCAGCAGCCAGTCCATGGGAGAAAGATGTGTCGATCTGTTTCCATAAAGATTTACAACCTGGGAACCACCTAGGAGGCAATTATACTCAGCTATGGATTTGTTTTGGGCTTATTTGAAGTCTCTGGTGGAGCCCTGTGCATTCTGGTTTAATCCCCTGTTGAGAATCTACCTGTCCGCCTCAGCTACACTGAACCAGAATTTACAGTTCTACAAGATTCCCCCAGGGACCTTGTTAAACTGTATGTTCTGATGCAGGATATCTAGGGTGGAAATACAGTCTTAGCAGGGGGCCAAACCAGAATGAACCAGTTGGAAGCCCTGGGTAGTGGTTAAGCGGTAGGCTGCTAACCAAAAGGTTGGTGGTTCAAAACCACCATCTACTCTGCAGGAGAGAGATGTGACGGTCTGCTTCCGTAAAAGTCTTCTCAAACCGAGCAAACCCTTTGGGCCAGTCCAGCCCTGTTCTGCATCATGGCTGTGATTCAGAATCAACGACAGCAGTGGTTTCTGGTTTGGTGGAGGACATGCCTCAGGAGCAGTTCTGTTATTCTCAGGGAAACCTCCTTTCTCTCTGCTTCTGTCTACCAAAAAAAAAAAAAAGCCCAATGAGGAACATTCTCCATACTTGAACTGTAGTTGTTGTGGAGAGAAAATTGTGCAAATGAAGATGATAGAAATAAAATTCACGCTGGATTACATTCCATAAACATCAACATTTATTGGATGTGGACTCTAGGCTGTGTCCTGTGTTCAGAACTTCAGATAGAAGAAAGCATGTGAGACCAACCAGTCAACTTGAGGGTCCACTTTTTTCAACAGATCTCTCTTATAGCAAACAAGTGCACTGGCATTCGGGTTTATACATCAGTTTTTTGTGTGTTTGGTAACCTGAGTCAGTCCCTGGGGTCTAATAATCTTTCTGTTTTCACAAACTCAGGTTTTTTTTTTTTTTTAAAGTAGATTGTTTAAAGTGGGAATCACTCCATTGGAAATGATTGGCAGGCCTCCTTAGGAATCATTTAAGGGCAGAAAGAGGCAAGAGGTGGTTCTCCAATTAGTCCAAGGGACTGGTAGACCATGTGATCCTCAGCCTATGTGACCATGAGACCAGAAGAACTAGATGGTACCCGGTTACCACTGTCAACCACTGGGAAAGGGATCAGTGCAGGAGATCCTGGAGAGAGTGGGAGAAGAATGTGGAACAAAACTCAAAATCACACACACACACACAAAGACCAGGCTTACTGGTCTGATACAGCCTGGTGAGATCCCTGAGTCTATGGGTCCCATGTGCTGTCGAGTCGGACCCAACTCATAGCGACCCCTTCTTGGGTTTCCAGGGTGGTATCAGTACGGAAGTAGATTGCCCAACCTTCCTTCTAGGAGTGGCAATTCTGGTTAGCAGTCCAATGCCTTAGGCAGTATGCTACCAGAGCTCCTAAGAAGGGCTGTATTTGTACAGGGAGGTAGCTCAGGGGTCAGGAATGCTTAGGAAAGGACACAGGGAAGAGCTAACTACAGGGAAGAAGTGGGAAGAGAGCTGTTACATTGTGGAGAATTGCAGTTAATGTCATGAAACAAATGTGTATGAACTGCTGTTTGGAAAATGAATTTGCTCTGTCAACTTTCACCTAAATTACACACACACACACACACACACACACAGAGGTGTTTCTCAGGGTTCCAGGACATACTCTCTGAATCTGGGTTGGAAAATTGGTCCTAACATTATCCCAAGACAGCTTCTTAAATTGGTTCTGGGGAAGGTCACAAGTGGACATGTTAAGGGTCTAGATTGGAATCCCCTTGACATTCTTTCTCTGGGACACAGAGTTCCTAGGGAAATCAGGGTGTCCTATTGAAGTTCAAGTGCAACCACCATTGAATGAAACAAAAAAAAAATTTAATGGCATGTTTGGCCTCTACTTCCAAATGAAGAGCGAGATATAAGATGTCACCTTGACGCTCCTAGCAAGAACTACCACAAGAAACGATCAAAACCCCAAGGAATGTTTTTTTTTTTTTTTTTTCTTTAAAGTTATTGACTGCAATGGAAGTTTCCATACTTGAGATATGACGTTTACGGAGACTACAACCCTGGGCTGGTGCGATCTTTTTCCCTTCTTAACGTTTCATTAGGAAAGCAGGTGAGTCTCCTTCCCGGCACATTCCTCCTCCCGCTGCCCCTGTTTACAGTATCAACCGCCCGCCCCTTCCCCTCCCCCCAGCAGCCCTCAAGCTCCAGGACAGAAAGTGATTAAAATGTTCACCGAGCAACGCCCGTGTCCCCGGTATCAGTGTGAGGGGTGGGGGGCGTGACACCTCTGGCGTCAAACGACCACAAATGCTAACAATGACTTTGTTTTTATGGAAGGAGGGGCAACAGCCACAAGGCGCGTGCGCTCCCAGTCCCGGATTAGCCACGCGGAGCGAGCAAGTCTGTAAACCGAAGCCGGCCCGCGACCCCCACCCCCTGGGGACGCTCTGGGGGTCGCTCGCCCGGGCGGCCCCGCGGCCCCCGAGCATGGGCTGTGGGGGAGGGGCGGCCTGCGGGCCCCGCCCCGGCCCCGCCCCGCGCGCCACGATTATAGCCGATGACTCAGGGCGGCGCTCGGCTTCCAAGGCAGGCCGCCGCCAAGTTCTCTGGATGGGACCAGAAGTTTCTAGCCGGCCAGTTGCTGCCTCCCTTTATCTCCTCCTTCCCCTTTGGCAGCAAGGAAGCTATTTCCAGACACTTCCACCCCTCTCCGGCCACGTCACCCTCTCCTTTAATTCATAAAGGTGCCCGGAGCCGGCTTCCCGGACACGTCGGCGGCGCTCGGCTCACGCTCCGGCAGCAGAGAGGTCCCCGCGGCGGCGGCCCAGCGACTCGGCGCCCAGAGGCCCTACACCGCGCAGGCCCGTATCCCGCGACCCCGGCACCCCGTACCCCGGCGGCCGCCCTCCGGGCAGACCCCGACCAGCATGAGCGCAGCCACCCACTCGCCCATGGTGCAGATGGCGTCCGGCAACGGCGCCGGCGACCGCGACCCCCTGCCCCCCGGCTGGGAGATCAAGATCGACCCGCAGACCGGCTGGCCCTTCTTCGTGGACCACAACAGCCGCACCACGACGTGGAACGACCCGCGCGTGCCCCCCGAGGGCCCCAAGGTGAGCTGGGCCTGCGCCCCTGCTACGCCGGGCGGCCCCACCTCGATGGCGGGCGGCGGCCACGGGCCCGGGGCCGAGGCTGTCCCCGCGCCCAGGCTCCGGAGGGCGGCAGAGGCAACCTCGGCGGACGTGCCGCCCTCCCCGGGGTCGGTCAGCCCGCCCGGCCCCGCTTAGCTAGCTTCCTCCGGATCCGTCCTTGGCCGGCGTCGGGGCGAGGGCGAGGCCCCGGGGCCACAGTCCCCACCGCGCCTCCTTTGGTTTTGGGGGGCAGGTGGCTCTGGCCCTGTGCACCGGTTCGAGTCGAGAGGCGGCGGCAGGAGCTGGCCCGGGCTGGGGGAGGGGTGGCCGGCCTGGTGCAGGCGGTCCGGCCAGGCCCCGCCGAGGGCGCCTCTGCCGGCCCCGCTGCTGCCGCCCGATCCCTGCGCGCCCCCGGGGGCCGTTCGCGTGCCCGGGTGGTGGTCTCCAGCACTTTGCCCGGTCCGGTGCCCCAGCTCGGCTGAGGGGCATCCTTGCTTTACTTCCGTCTCCAGGACAGAGTGACTCAGGAGGCCCATGGGATCAGACACTTTTTTCTGTTTGAAACTGAAATTGTGTTATGGTTTGGAATTGTTTTAATAAGAACGTGTATGACTTCTTAGAGGCCACATGCTCTTCTCCAGGCTGTTTCTAAGCCAAGCCCTGAGAATGTCGCTCCTCGTCGTCCGTTGTCTTACAACATCGCCTCACACTGGAGAGAAAGCCTTTTTTTTTTTTTTTTTTTTTTAATGGCATACATTCCCTTCCTTGTTGTGGTACTGAAATATTTAGGGTTTGTTTCCAATACACAGATAACACAGTTAGGAATAGCCTGGAGAATGCAGAAGTCGGCCTCGTTTACATAACGCAAAGATTACTGACTTTGAAAATACGTATTTGGAATGAGTCTGTTAATTTAAAAAATTAAAATTGTGCCACTTGGAATTTTCTGTAAATTTGTAATTTTCCACAATAAAAGTTTTGGGGACATAAATATTTTTAGAGAAAGGGTAATTGTTAGTACTCTCTGGGCAAAATAAAAGCAGAGCAAAGCCAGTCAATTATTTTGAAGATGTAAAAATCCACAAAGTTAAAAATGCCTTCTAAAACACTGTTGTGGAAGAAAGGCTTGAAATTTTCACCTTTAGTTTTGTGTACTTTTTTCTCAGAGATGTTGATAAAGCCCTTGAGGTCGATGTTGAGACATTGTCCATGCAGCAGTGTACATCTACAAGAAATTGATTGTGTATTTGTTTCTGAAAACGTGTATGTGAGCCTGTAATTACCCGGAGTGGACATGGTTATATACCTTTTGGGGTGTCTGTTCAGCCCATTGTTGGGTGAAGTTCCTGTTTCTGTCTAGCCAGTCCTTGTGCCCACAGCCTTGCATGGATGCGTGGAGGACATTTAGTGTGCTGTAGGACGATTATTTAGAGGCCTGCTTCCTTTTGAGGACGGAGCTCTGGTGGCACAGCGGTTAAAGTGCTTGACTGCTAAACGAAACGTCCTCTGTTTGAACCCACTAACCAGTCTGCCTCTGTAAAAAGTTACAGCCTTGGATACCCAAGACACTCAAACCAAACTCACCATGGAATTGATTCTGAGTCACAGTGACCCCTTTTGGGTTTCCGAGGTGGTAAATCTTTATGGAAGTAGATTGCGCAGTCTTCCTTCTGCAGAGTGTGGCTGGTGGCTTTGGACCACCAACCTTCTGGTTAGCAGTCAGATGCCTTAGGCGCTATACGGCCAGACCTCCTTTGGACACCCAATGGGGCAGGTCTGTTCTGCCCTGTAGGGTTGCTGTGAGTCGGAATTGAGTCTGTGACAGTGGGCTTTTCCTCTCCTGTAGAGGCAGGCTCTGCTAGCAGCCTTTGTTGTGAGTGAAGGTCAAGTTTGAACATACCCTGAGTGAGTGCAGTACAAGACCCACATGGCCAGCGTTTTGTTTGCAATGGGAAACTCACCCCGTGAGTTGGGGTTGCCCTGCTGCCCCCCTTCGTGGACCTGCCAGGTGGGTGGATGGGTTTGGGTTAAGGCTATGGTTTCATAAAGCTTTCTAAGGGAGGTAAGCAAGTTGAATCACTATTTTCAGAAAAATAGAAATAAGAGCTACTGAGTCAGTGGTCTAACAATGGAAACAATTTTAAAGTTAGTAGGTCCTTCAAGATGGTTTAGTTCAGTCTCTGTATCTTACTGGTAAAGAAACCCAGAGTGTTAGGGTGAGCTTCTCAAGTTCACACAGTAGTACTGACAGCAAAGCGAGAATGATACCCCAAAGGTCCCCAGTTTCCAGTTTCTCAGAACAAAACGATGGTTTACAGCCCTAATGAACAAGCAGGTACAGGTGCTTTGAATTTTTATGAAGCTGTGAAGCATGAAAACAAAATGCTTGATTACCTTTGTGTTCTGACCTCCACCAAGTGTCGGATTACTGTCCTCTGTGCACTGGTTGCTTGGCATGATGGTGACTGGATGTGATTAGCGCAAGAAAAGCTCTGTTTACCGGATGGGCTGCTTGAGGCTTGGCAGCAGCGTGGCACCAGGACAGAAGGAGAGAACGAGAGTTCAGTCCCCGAGCTGTGCAGGCATCTTTGCTCTGATAGAAACAGGATATCTGGGTGACTAAGTTCCAGGAGTCCCTGGGCAGGGCAGCAGTGAATGCGCTTGGCTGTTAACCAAAAGGGTGGTGGTTCAAGGCCAGCCAGAGGCACCTTGGAAGAAAGACCTGGTGATCTGTTTCCGAAAACTCAGCCATTGAAAACCTGTGGAGGAGTTATGATGGAAGAGAGGTTAAGGCATTTGGCTGATAAGCAAAAGGTCTGTGGTTTGAACCCACCAGCTGCTCCACGGAAGAAAGATGAGGCGGGTGTGTGTATTTATATGTATGTATATCCTCAAGAAATTAAGAAAACAAAAACCGTGTGGAGCCGTTGTACTCTGACGTGTGGCGTCACCAGGAGCCAATCGACTTGACAGTGGTGGTGGTTGCTTTAGTTTCATTCGGTTTCACTGACATGAATTTCACTTTATTCCAGATTAAATACAATGGAAAATCCTTCTGTCTTGTTTTATGTTAGAAATTGATTTCTTAATGCACAGTGAGGAAGGGATCCTGGCATAACATAGGATGATTTTGGAGGCGCTGAGCCCACCCCCCCCGCCTGGCATCCTCACCTTGAAGAGGAAATGCCGTCCACGGATGCTGAGTTTTACATGTTGGGAGGCCACTATTCAGGATGTATATGGCCTAACAGTTGGTAAATAGACGGCTTCCTTGGGAAGAAGAAGAAGACTGGAACTTTGTGTGTGAATTTGCAGTCTTTCACGCTCTGTCATCTCACAGCTGACCCTGCTGTGTTCCCCTGCACTGGTCGGAGCAGCTCAGAGGAGGCCAATAGAAACCAGCGTCTTGTCCTTCCTTTCATCTTGCCCTTCCCTTCGGAGCCAGGAAGCCTGGAGGCAAAGACACTGGGCTTCCTTCACCCGGCTCCAGTCTAAGCTGCTGAACCGCCCACCAGCAGTCCTCCTGGATTTTAGTGTTCTATGCACTTGGAGTGCCCACTCATCACCTGGCAAGTTCATTCCAGTCCAGACCCCTGCCTGGCAGAGAGGTTGGCATTCGCTTGGAGTCAGGAGCTAGCGTTGCTCCCTGTCCCCTCCCCAGCCTGCCTGGGAGGGGAGGGAGATTGTCCTCTCGCAGGCACCCAGGCTGTTCCCACCCTGCAGGTCTCAGAGCCAGCCCGGCACTCTCCCAGTCTCTGAGGAGCCTTTTAAGAGGCCAGGTCACCAGCTGTGTCTGCTGGCCTGCCCCTGCCTGTTGAATCGAGTCGCTGAGGGCAGGGCCCAGAGATCCGTAAGTCAGAAGAGCTCCCTCTCTGATGGTTCTGATTTGGGCCGGCCTGGCATTTGGGAGCCACTGATGGCTTGTGGTGCCGTTTTGTAAGGGGAGCAGCACGCCTGCATGTCGGCCCTAGGGTCCTTCACAGTGCTGCCTGGTCCGCATCTGACGGGCAGAGCCTCTGTCTGCGCTGTGTGTTCCTTCTTGATGAAACCCTCCCCGGGTGGTTCTGGGAGTGTGAGCACAGAGCTGGGGGGGGGGAGGGGACAGGGGCACGCAGCATGGCAAGGTGGTGGCGCTGGGCGTGGGGAAGTGGTCTGACTCGGGGTCCCCTCCGACCCCCGGAGAGCCCAGAAGAAAGGGCCCACGGCCATAGCGATTCTCCGTTCCTGGCAGAGCCTCGCCATGATGAAATGACAGATCGTGTTCAGATGCTGGGAGGGGTAGAGACATCTTCCAGAGGAAATTGGAAATGTTGGAGTCCTGATTGCAGCAGAGACGCACTTCCTTCCTTCAGGCTCCGAGAGCCTCTTGAATTTTCTTCACGACAAGATCGTTTTGCTCTTTGCAGATCGATTGCAGGCGCTGTGCCTCTTAGCAGCAACAGAGCCCAGTCAGGAAATGAGTGGCCACGCTCGCCTGTTCCTGTTTCCCCAAGACGCAGCGATGATTGAGCAGATGACTGTAGCTGAGGAGCAGTGATTTGCTGGGCGGAGAGAGAGGGCCAGGCGCCCCGGAGTCCAGCTCATCCAAGACCTTCATTTTCCTCCCTGAAGAACAGGCTGTTTGGCTCCTGCAGGAGCTGACTGAGTATGATTTGTCCTGCTCGGTGGCGCAGGTTCGCCCTTTACGAGGGTAGTCGGTGCACAGGAACTCTGGCGTTTGACATGAGCCAGGGCCAGGGAACGTAGATGCTTGATGCTGTCGGGTCTGGTGGTGAGTCAGAGATCTCCGTACCACCCATGAGGCTTGACGAGTGCTCTTTTCTGGGACGACACACGGTGGCCTGATAGAAACCCCTCTGCATGTCCTGTTGCTTTTTTATTGACATTCCGAAATGATGTTCTGGTGTTTGTCACCAAGATTAGGAAACCGTACATAATACAAAGCTACCCTTCTTCCCTCAAATCTCTGCTGTTTGAATATT